GGGTTTGCGGGTTTGGGGGTTTAGGGTTTTGGTGTCTAGGGTTTTGGGGTTTAGGGTTTTGGGGTTGTAGGGTTTAGGGTTGAGCTCGAGGATGGCACTCGTTCTGACGCTCCAAGTGACTTTGCATCATGGTTTCGGTTCTTTCTCACGCTCTTCGGCTTACTGCCACCTTTCCCACAGCAAGGGTTGCTCCGGCTAACTTCTGGTCATGGCTACATGTCTAACCGTCGCTCCCAACTTCTTACTGTCAGTTATTACGATTGCGACGATGATGATGAGGATGATGTTGAGGACGATGATGGTGCTGCTGCTGATCATGATGATTGTTATGACCACTACCATTATGGTTGTGGTCGCTGTTACTATTCTTATTTTTTATTTCTATTCTTATTGTTTTTATTATCGTTCCGTTCTCATCATCGTTATCATTCTCTTTACCATTATCATTGTCACTATCATTATCAGAACTGTCATCATTTTTGTCGTCATTAGTACAATCTTTAGCATCATCATCTTCCTTGCTACTGCTGCCGTTGTTGTTAAGATGATCTTCTTTTTCAGTGGACAGCTTCAGGGTTTGGTCTTTTTCCGGTTCTTATAAGCTCTGTGGACTTCAAGGCACGATTGAAAGCAACACTTTCAAGAGTGCTGCTCGGCTCGGGGGTTCGCCCTTCGAGTGTTTAGGAAAGGTAGACTCAGGTAGACGCCATGGAAGGCTCAGCGCTTCGCATTCCTGAAGGTTGGGCTGATGAAGTCAGGATGACTGTGGCGGATCCGCGGACATTCCAGCCCGGTCAGAGGATATGCTTTGATTCGACACGGCCAAAGAACGATTTCCGGATTCGACTGCTTGTCTATCCAGCTGGCCAGAGCATGGATCTTGTGCAGGACCCACGCGTCAGTGTTTATGTTGAGTTGCTTCTGCCGCTGAGTGCCACGATGGGGAATAACAGATGGACCTGTGAAGACGTGTGTGTCGAAGTTGCAGTGCTCTACTCCGAAACAGGCCCTGTTTCGCACTCGCGTGTAGGATGGTTCGCTTCCACAGAATTGAGCCAACAGGCAGGCCTGGACGATGTGCTGTACCGAGATGACTTGGAGGAGTGCCTGAATGAAGGACAACTCCATCTCTGTGCCAAAGCGAGCATAGCTCCCCGCCACTGTGGCCGCCGAGAGGATGTTGAGATGACACTCAACCACAGTGAAGCGCATGACGCTGTGCCCGGGCAGTTTCTGAGATCCCGTCGTGCCGGCTTGCCAAACAATTTCATGTTCGATCTGCAAGTATACCCGCGTGGGCGGCATGGCCGGGCTGGGGAATTCGGTGTATTTCTAGAGTTGTGGCCGGGGCTACGCGAGCAAGCAGGTTGGTGGGATGCTGGGTATGTGAAGTGTCAAATGGCTGTTTGCAGAGGGGAGAGTGGCATGCCCGTGCTTCATACAGCTTATTTCTCATTCGACATCGAAGGCGACTGCAGAGGCTGGTCGGACATCGGGTGGCTGGGTGCATGGAGAGATGGCACCGAAGAAATTGCGGAGACGATAACCATCCGAGCAACTGTGGAGTTTCCTTTGAAGGTGGATGTTTGGCATAGCTTCGTCCATGATGTGAACTTCACGCAGCAGCCAGAGTATGTCACCTTTCACCTTGCCGAGGGGCCTCCCATGTACTTCGACAAGCGGATCTTGATGACTTCTTCAGAGTATTTTGAGCACATGTTGGGCAGTGCAGGCTGGAAGGAGGGGCAGAGCAATGAAGTCGACTTGAGCAATGAACCACTGGCTGACTGCCGTGTCATGACAGCGATATTCCATTTCATGCTGTCTGAAACATTCTCTGCACGTGGAGATGTGGTGTTTGCGTTGTCTGTGCGACGTCTTGCCGATCGGTACAGCTTGAACCGGCTGGTGAGGAGGACGGAGGATGAGCTGGAAGACCTGCTGTCAGAAGAAAACATTTTGTCGGTGCTGGCGCACGTCTTCGGCAGCTGCGGCCGGCTAGAGCGCACTTGCGTGGACTTGGTCAAATACAACAAGTGCGAGGTCTTGTGTCGCCAGAGAGACAAAGTCTTCCAGATCGTGACCGAACATCCAGAGTTGGCCAAACAGCTTTTGAACATGTCTCTGAACTTTCTGGAGGACATGTCGCACAAGCCGGAAAGGACTTGGTATCTGGAGTGACACTGAGCTGGAAGTCGGGGAACCCGGGTGGTTGAAAAGGTACACCCGTGATGCTGGCATTTTTCGTCGAGGATCCCAGCAGTGGAACAAAGGCTACGAGAAAGGTGCAGGACTTGCGTCGCAGGGCCCAGAGATTGAAAAGGGCTGAGTGCCGAGCAGAGATTCTCCTTGTCGGTCGTAGCGTGTCGTCAAGGTCGCAGTAATTTCGCATTCACCGGGAACCGTGTTTCGTTCATGCAGATGTGAGCTCTTATCTCTGTACTAGTGTGAGTTCCCCTCATGTTTGTGGATCCATGGCTATCATTCATACACTCAGGAAGCTGCATACCTTCGAGTTCCACGAGGACCTGGCAAGAGACTCCATGAATGAAGATTTGCGTTCCAAGTTTCAACATGGCCCTTCTTTGCGCTCATGCACCTTTTTTGCCTCTCACATTGGTCTTTGGATGAACAGCCCTTCGTGCAACCCTTCGCTCACCCTCTCTCCCTTCTCCTCTCCGTTTTGTGTCTGCTTTCGCTTGACTTTTCCTTGGCTTTCTCCATGCTGATTCCGCACCGTGACGGCAAGGACCGCCAGCGGCAAGCTGCTGCTGACTTCGAGAAATATGGCTTCATGGATGTCATCGTCTCCCGCCACAGGGATGTCTGCCTCGGTCTGAGTTGTTGCGCTGATTCCGCAATCCTCCAGAGCTGGAGCGGAGCAGACGCAGACCTGGCATTGGGAGTATGTAGCATGTATTTTCCCTTCTACATGTATATATATATATATAGAGATACAGATATACATATATATATATATATATATATATGTATGTATGTTAAGCACTACATAGATGTTTATATTTCATTCAATATGTATGTGATACGTGATACGCAAGATCTCCTACAGGGCCTCGTCATGGCCGGATGCAGTCGGCCCTTGCATAGTCGCGTGGCGGATACGGTCAACGGATGCTTCAACTGACCTGCCGTCGTTTCATCACTGTGATTTTCGCCCACCTCTGCATCTTTTGGCTTCGCTTCGTTCCGCCCGCACAAGTAGTATACCGGTACCTTACGCCCTACTTCTCCCGTCTGCGGCGGTAGATCGGCGGCTGTGCAAGGCAATGATGGGTTCGGCGAGAACCTTCGGGGGGCTCTGGCCTCAGGGAGGGCTGGGAAGGACCAAGAGGAATCAAAGGCGTTCTGACGTATGGCATCTGGTGTCATGTTCACTATGTCACGATGCTAGTATGAAGGCTTTCATTGGGCAACGCATTAGCGCAATGACGAACAACTAGAGTATCTTTTGAAATAGGAATGCATTTGAACGTAGGTGCATACATACATCCCTCCCTCCCGCTCGCATACACATGTGCACGGGTTGAACGGCTGCATGCATCGAGGCGGTTCATGGAATCTTCCTAGCCCGGAACCCAGCTGATCCGCGGGAAGAAGAAGGTAGAGCTGACAGAGAGAAGAGATGAAGCACCAGACTGCCTAATGGCTGTCAGCGCTTGTAGAATTCGCTGGAGGACCTCCCGGCACCCTGGGCCACTGTGGGGCACGTCCTCGATGCCCTGGTTCCCGGTGGTCGCCTGGCGACTCGTGCAGCAAGCGGCTGATGTGCTCTCTTTGTCGGGTTCTACCGCCGCAGAGGTTTACCATCCTGTAAGTTGGGAGCTCCCTCAGATTGCTTCAAGACCTCCCGAAGCTTTTGGCATCTTTCAATCTGTGGTGGGTTCCTTCCGCTTTGTGCTGCAGCTCACCGCCTGAGCCTGAGGTGACCTTTTCGCCATGTGTGGAGCAGGTCGGGAAGGGACGAATGCAGCAACAAAAAGCGGCAGAACCCAGCCGGCCCATGCCCGGACCCTGCTCCCGAACCGACGTGAACAGCCACAGGTGGACAAGACGGCCACGGAGCTCCGGCGCAGCTGCCGATTCTTCGACATCCGCATGTGGCCTTGAACCGGGGATTGTGGTGCCGGAGTCGGGGATAGGACTTGCAATCAGTCATTTGTAGCAGTCCACACCCAAGTGTCCTAATCAGAAGGAGTCGTCTGCCCAACTGCAGGCGACAGAAGAACCCAGACTAAGCCGCGGGAGTGATCGGAGGCTGGAGACGCTGGCCGTGAACTGGGGTGTGCGCGCTGCTGAGGTGGGACCCAGCAGGGAGCTTGAAGCACTTTCAAGGGAGGTTCTGCAGGGCAGGAGTTACAGGAGCTACAAGAGCCCAAGATTCCCAAAGCCTCGGAGCCCACTTTGGAGCCTCGGGAGGCCAAGTCCAAGAAGCGGCGCCTGCCGAACCAGGAGCGACCGGGTTAGTAGGACGGCTCGCGGGCCAAGTCTAAGGCTTCGGGACTTTGGGGCGCCGTAGCTTGTCAGAGTCAGATGTTGAGCCATTGGCGCTAACTCAGCCTGCAGCTGCTTGAAGAGTTCGGGCCTTTGGGATTCGGCGCTGTGCAGTGCTGCAGAAAGGCCTTGTGTCAGCAGCTGCCGAATCGAGCGATGCGGGCAAGACCTCTTCAAACCCTGCGGTTTGCCAGTTCAAAAGCACACCCAGTTTTTGGACGAGCTTTGGCAACAGCCGGGCAAGTCGCTCTACCTGGAGCCACGCTCTGGAATCAAGTCTTGCACGACAGAACAGTCAGTGCTGAAGATCTACAGTAGCAGTCACAGCACCTCCGGTATTCTTGCAATCGTTGGCTGAGCTGACCGCGGAGGCCAGGCATAAAACCACGCTGGCCAAGATCACATGACATCATAGAGTTTTCGGGATACCGAATCAGTTTGGAGAGATACCTTGCCACGGTTGTGGAAGGCATCTGGAGCCTGATGCATTTCACATAAGCAGATCGAGGTGCAAATCCTGTGATCGATACTACCAACTTCAGTACTTCGGCACATCGCGAGGCACACTGATCCGGCTAGCATCTTCATCTAGGACACGATCTCTGAACTAGGGCATGTGCCACACTCTTTCGTAGATGTCTTGGGCACGCTGGAACAAGGTGGAGGGCCAAGCGCAGAGCTCCAAAGTAGGGGTATGTGAGATATGGTGACATCCTACAGATGCTGGCGCAGAATGGGTGGTGCTCCGTTTCACTGCGATCTGATCAGCCGCATGTTGATGGGCAATCCCTGGGCGGCTCGATAACAGGCTTGGATACGCGAAGGAGAACTGCGTTCTCATACCGGCAGGGTTCAACACGGCTGAAAGACAGGTTCGGGGACCGTGTTCGGGGACACACTGGGGAAAAGGACAACGGGCCCTACGGGATGGCTGCAAACGTTGAGCATAAGCCCCAGGAGACGAGGTTCCGCAGGCCACAGGTTAGAAGTAGGCGCTTGCAAGTGCAAGCCCATGCCCTTGTGCAATTCCGCTGGTCGTTTGATGACCAGCCGGCTCGCAAATGGACAGAATCCGAATTCTCCTTCTGTTTATACAACTCAGAGAGTCAGAGTTTTTGTTCATGCCAGGACGCGGACGAGTCTTCGAGGCTGGTGCCTTTGTGCACAGCTACTGTTTTTTCTGTGCTGCCTTGCGGGCTTCGAAGAATATGTCAGTCGCTGCAGGATGTAGCAGGCATTACTCTCAGAATGTTAACTCCTGCACTGGTTTGAGCCCTTGCTAGGCTCTCGTGACTGGTTACAGCTTGGTTTGGCCTTCGCTACCAGTTGCTAGCTATACTCCAACAATGACACCGGGTTGGCAGACTCCTTGTGTCTTGTGTGCAGGCCACAAGAGCCCAGTACGGCTGCGAAAAGTGGTGCAGTGCCCAGGAAAACTTCAAGTCATGTCCTATGCTCTTGGTGTACTGGACTTGATCTTGTCCAGCTCAAAGTGTAGCGGGTAACGGCAGACGCCCATGCGGCCTCAATGCGCTTCTGCTTTAAGTGTACTATCAGGGACGGTCATGGTCTCGAATTTTCTGCTGTGTACTTCGGTTCATTGTGCTGTTTAAAGCGATGCAAGTCCGGGCAAGGTCCAGATCCTGGGAGCCAGTGGCTGAGCTACCAGATGCCCATGAGGTCCCACACGGCCTGCTGCTCAGCATTCTGTGCTTGAGGTGTCATTACGTGCCCCCCCCCCTTCTTTGTGAAGCTCCTTGCCGGATAGATCTTCTGAGGCCTACCTGCTGGTCGCCACAGTGGCACCGGCCGACGAAGCCGAGGGCTAGCCCTAAGACGCGCAGCGCTGCGCGGTAGAAGAACGGCTGGCTGCTCTAAACAGCGCGGGTCGTATGCAGTGTTTGTCAGGACGATCAAGACGGGGTCTTTATGCATGTTGTCGTTTGCTATTGCCCACGCAGGCAGTCTACAGGCGAAGGCCTCGCGTACACGACCATGCCGACACGGGACATGGACCAGGCCGGGCATACGCAAACTGCTCATTCTCAGGTTTGTGTAGACCTGGAAGGTGCGGACGATTCGCCCACCGTCCACCCTGTCAAAGGCTGGACGCCTCCTGCAGCTGAAACTGGGGGTCCTCAAACAAAATGCTTTCCCGACTGCATGAGCACGGGGCTGTTCTCTCGCGGCTTTCAGGCCGTTGAGGCTTGAAATCTCGGGGTATGTTGAACGCGGCTTCTGGTACCAGGGAAGCAGACAGTCCGAGGGCCACCAAAGTGCCCGGCTTAGGGCAGCGGGAGGGCAGAGCAGACTTGGACTTGCAACCAGTTTGTGGATGTGATCCGCAGTTGAAGCCATCTGCCGATCCTTCGAGCGACATGCAACGCGACATCAACGGAGTCTCTCGGAGCCCAGGTGCTCCACGGCTGCGGGCGACGCCAGCACGCTCGGCAGGGGCCCTTGGAACTTTTGAGCCTGCGGAAGGCGTTAGGTTCGCTCTTAGTTGTGGCCCTGGATGGAGTCCCCTAAACTGAGAGCCCCCGTGTTATCAGGGCATCGGGCGTGCTTCTGTCTGTGAGGTGCGGAGCACCACCAGCTCCCAAAGATCGATGAGGCCAAAGCCAAGCCAGGGACTCTTGGATCAGGGATGATTAGTGCTTTGATGGGGGATTGAGGGTTTGAAGGCCCGGTGCTTTCCCGAAGACCCCTGTGCCCTTCGAAGCTCTTCCTTTTGCAGACGGCTGTTTCTTCGGGCTGGGTTATTAAGTTATAGGATACGGCTGGTTGTGAGGTTATACAGTTATGCATACAGTAGTAAGGTCTATTATACCATACCAGTGACTAGACCAGGCTTGACCAGACTAGACGAGACCAGACTAGACCAACAGCATGGGGGTCCTTAACATTTTTGAGGCATCAAGTCCTTGTGGATGCTACTGCCGTGCAGGCGGTCCGAGTCGGCAGTGGCTGCAAGGACGTTGGTTGGAGTTTGCACTGCGGCAGCTTGAGGTTCAGGGGTTAGGATTAGGGGTTTAGGGGTTTAGGGTTCATTTCGGGCTGCTTTGGGGTTATATGCACGAAAAAGCCCGGTGTTGTAACTTCGATCTACAATGATCTGGCCCTTGCAGTAAATTCCCGCGTGGGGGCCAGCAAAGCAACCTCACAGCCAAAGGCAGGCTGGCTCAACTTATGGAGTTGAAGGAGGTTTTTGACTTGCGCCAAATGCACATTGGCTCTGAACTGAGCCCAGCTGGTCTTGGCATCTCAGCCAGACCAAGCATGGAGTAAAGGGGCATCTAACTAATCGCCGACCCCATAAGCACCGGATACAGAACCTGAAACCCCTCGCCCTAAACCCTAAACCCTAAACCCTAAACCCTAAACCCTAAACCCGCAACATCCGAAAGGCCCCCCGAAACCGAAAACTCCCATCACTGCAGCCGATTTCGGCTTTTTCCCTGCCATCCCTTCTCTTGCGGACGCGTTCTGCCGGGCCTGGAGGGCCCTAGGAACGCAGAGACCCCACTTGGAGGTTCAGGGTATCTGTAGTACATCGTAGTAGCTTATCATACAGTTTAAAATCAGATATGTCAAAGTTTTGAGCCCTGCAGTTGCAGGTTGAGTGTTGTCAGCTTCGGATTCAGGGTCTCCTCACTTGACACATCTCTGGCAGGGTTTAGGCTTTGTCTGGGATGTGTCGGCTTGGGGTTGTAGGATTTAGGATTTCGGATTGATTAGGGTGTGGGGTCACTGCACTGAATCTGCTGGCTGCCTCCTCCGATGCTCGCGCCTCGCGGCTATGATTGCTTCTCGGACCGTCATGGTGGCCCGGACGTGACTGGTTTCCTGTTGAGGAGCGCTTTCATTGTGAAGAAGCTGCGGACTCAAACGGATTATAGGGGCTCTGACACGATCGCTTCGGATAAGACCCCCAAGCAGTAGAGTCATTAGAGTGGTTCCCCTCATATGGTGAACCCAACAGGTTGAAATGCCGCAAGCACAGCAAACCGCAGTTTCACGATATCCCTTCATCCGGCACAGGTCCTGTTGGTCGGAGCTGGCACAAGGCAGCTCACAGTGCGGGAGGCGTTTTCCGGGGCAGCGGTTTGCACCCTGGCGCGCCCAGTGCGCTCGGAGGAGGTGAAGAAGCAAATCGTGCGAAGCAGGGGCATTCCTGAACCCGAGATTCGGCTACTTGCTGGCGACAGAGATCTTTTTGATTCCGAGTGGCTGACTAGCCACGAGGAGGTGCTTTTCGTCAGACGGCGCGAGGAGGTCGTAGCTTTCCTGGCCATTGCCAAGAACGACCCGGACGTAGGCCTGGTTGGTTCAAAAGACTCACGCAGGGAAGGTCGGGTCTCAGCACTTTTGGGTTTGGCTCCTGCGCAAAGGCCTGTTTGGGGCCGACGAGTGGATTCGGGATGATGCCGAGTGCGTGGCTGCGGTCGTGGCAGCTCGTGGACTGGAGTTTCAACACGCGGCCGTGCAGCTGAGGGACAACGAAACCCTGGCGACCGCTGCCGTTCGCAGCAACGGTTTGGCGCTCGAGTTCGCATCAGAAAGACTGCAGGACTCCGCGGGTCTCTCGCTGCTGCCCGTGCAACCTGCACTCCGGTGCTGTTGTTCTTTTTTCACTTTGAGGGAGCAAAATAGAGCGAACCAGCTGCAGGAGCACCTTCCACTTGTCAGCACCGCTGTGCTGCAAAACTATCGTGCTCTGCGCTTTGCTCGCGGGGCACTGCGGAGTGAGGGCGTGGTCGTCCGCAACGCCTTGCGGAACGTCCTCGCAACGCCAATCGCGGAAGGCCAGTTTGGCGACGACTCAGACGGGCAGTGCCTCTGCGTTGACGTGCACAGCGTAATAAGATAAGTAGGGTTTTGGTTTGGACCAGGAAATGCTCTTCAGGTTGGTGGATGAAGCCCGGAATCCCAAACTCTATAATGGACGAGGTGGGCGCGGCAGCAAGAGGTCAATCGGCTCCGCCAGCAGCAATGGGAGGACTCTCTGGTGCTTAGCAAGGATGTGTTGATGAGGATCAGTTTTGGCACTAACAAAGACTGCATAGGCCCCTTCCGTCTTTCACTTCCATTCCGAAATCTGATGGCAGGAGCTTCGCGAACTCTGTCCGGAGTACATTGACCTAATCGACTTGGCGCGCAGCCTGCAGCGCAGTGCCGAGGCTTCACAAGGAAATCGGTCGCTTTTCCGGGCACCCGTCTGAGTCTGATTCGAAGCCAACGGAACGACGGACGGGCCGATTTCCAGTAAGGTTTCAGCAAGGCGTGCTCGCCCATGTGCCTGACGATGTGTATCGGCTTGCTATTGGGACTGCCCCTTGCGCTGGTGATGCAGCCGTGGCAGCGCTTGGTGATTCTGCCCTCGGTTGTGACTCCCAGACTGCAGTTGGAGCGCTGCAATCTTGTTGAGGAGATTCAGCGACACCCAGAGCCCGGAACTTTAGGCCCGAAGCCCTACACCGTCCCAGGATACCCGTGCTGCTGATGTTCTGTCTGACCTGGCGACACGACAAGACGGGCCGCGAGGTGATCCTGAAGATATCCTCAGTGGCGCTCCGCGAAAAGTCGCCGGTCAAGCGCAGACGTTTCCTCTCAGTTTTCACGTGCACTGTAGCTTGGAGGCATGTTCGAGCTAGGGACTAATTTGAGGAAAATCTGCACACGGTGTCAACTACGACCAAGGTACGAGTGAGCACTTGCCTTTTTTGCTTCGTCTTCGATGCCGCACTGGGAGCCCTTCTCAGCTCCATATGGCTTGGTTTGTTTGATCTCATCGGTTGATCGCACGGCCAAAATGTCCGACCACGGGGATCGAGGGTTAGGACCTTAGGATGTTTCGGCGCCGGGGTCGGAGGAAGCCGTAGAGCAAGAGCAACATGTCATTTTGCCTTCAGACCCCTTATCTGCTTCGGCTTTGGCAGTCGAGCCGGGGTTCGAGTGAAGGGGTGCGGTTCAGCTGGGACCCGGTTCTGCTCCAGAGGTGGAACGGTGTAGCGTTTAGTGGGTCTTGTGGCCGCAGCAGCAGGAGCATGTGAGAGGGCCAGCTGCCTCAAACCCAAAGCTTCTCCGCACCTAAAGTCTCGGATCCTGAAACCCCACCGACACTCCTAGACACTGAAGGAGAATGCTTCACTCCTGGACACTGAAGGAGAATGCTTTTTCGAACCCACTAAGTCTTACTCGAATTCCGTTTAGGCATAGGCCGCTGTTCAAGATGTCAGCGTTTGGACCTCGTTCCGATCCCTGGCGACGTCGCGATTCTCGATGAGTCCATCATTCAACCAAGGACTGAGTTATCGGCTGTCACGGCTTCCATCCATCAGCACATATGGGCACACAAAGGCATGTAAGGGAGTACAAGCTTTGTTTGGACAGGGGTTCTGCAGGCCGTTTTGTTTCAATTTGTCGAATTGTAGAGCAAGCTACAGAAAACACTTGTATATATATATATATATATATATGTGCATAGATATGCTTACATGTAAAAATACATACATGTACATGTATGCATGGAAATTCTGGTACACGTACACACACGCAGTCATGTGCATGTACATTTGTACGTATATACATATATGTGTATATATATATATATGTGCAGGTCTATATTTACATATGTAATTATATATACACACATGTTCTCTCTGTGCATATGCTCATACACACATGTAAATAAATATATATATATATATATGTGCACACAATCGTTTTCTTTGTGAGATACATATGTATGCGGGTCCTTCTGCAAATAACTTGACTGTTGCAGTATATTCGCGATGTGCAGGTGCGAGTGCACGGGCCATCGTAAGCAACGATACGGACATTAGCAACAATGCATGTGTGCATCCATGCACACGCACACACACACACTTGCACACATATACATATATATATATATATATGTATATGTATGTATGTATATATATATATATATGTATATATATATATGTATGTAAATATATACATACATACAGACATACATACACGTACGCGCACACGCACACGCATTCACAGATACTTTTGGACATATGTGTACATAGGCAGCACACAACACATACATGCACAGATGCCTACCTACCTCCCTGCCTGCGTGCCTGCCTGCCTACCTACCCACCTACCAACCTACCTACCTACCTACCTACCTACCTCCCTGCCTGCCTTCCTGCCTGCCTGCCTCCCTACGTACCTACCTACCTACCTACCTACCTACCTACCTACCTACCTACCTACCTACCTACCTACCTACCTACATACACAAATCCGTATACACGTATGTGCGCCCGCATCTAGTTGCCGAGCAATGAAGCGGAAGAGCAGCTCCCTGGATGACATCACACTGAGATTCGAAAGCGGCTCATGCTCCGCATGCTCCTCGCTGCTGCGCATGTCCTCTCCTGTGTTTGATGCGATGCTGGCATCTGGTATGAAAGAGCAGGAACAGAAAATCATCGATGTGACTATTGCTTCTAAGGAGGATTTCGACCTTTTCTATGAGCTTCTGCAGCCAGGTGCTGGTCTGGTCGGCAAGCAAAGGATCGTTGAGAAGAACGTTGATGCCTTGCTCACGCTGGCGAAGTACTATCAAGTAAGCTTTCTTCAGAGAGCTTGTGAGGAAGTTCTCCTTAGCTTGCCCGTTTCGGTCCAAAGACTCTTGCAAGCCAAAGAGCATGGCCTGGCAAGGCAGCAGAGTCGCTGCATTGGAGGTTTGGCATGGTCTTGTACGAAGAAGGACCTAAAGACGATTCATGAAGCCTCACCAGAACTCGTGCTCCGCCTGGCTTACACTATGCGCGGTTACAGCGAGGAAGAGGGAGAGGGAGAAGAGGAGGGTGAGGAGGAAGAAGAGGAAGGTTTTGTAAATGATCCTGTTGTCACAATCCCGTGAAATTCCGCTGCTTTTTGTAGCAGAAGCTTCATGCCTCTAGTTTCTGGCTGTGTCACTGTGACAGTGTGGGCACAACATGACACCATCCAACTCCCGTCAGGCCAAAAAAGTCTTTGGATGCTTTCCTTTGTGATTTTGTTTTGAAAGCCGTAGCTCAGCATGGAACAGAAATCTGCAGGACTTGCACTACCAGCTGTCCGATTCGTGCTCGGCGACTTCAGCTATCTTCAACTTCTTCCGTCGTTTCGTTCGGCGGCGGTTGCTTATAGGGTTGCAGGGTTTAGGCATATGAAGATCGGTGAACTTCGACCTTGCAGGAATCCCACGCCCTGCGCCCCGCCGGCACCCGCCATTCCTGGCAGCCCGGTGCTGCGCTCAATACGATCCTGAACTTGAAGGGGCGCACTCTTCAGTCAATGGTAGCAAATTGGCATTTGTTGCAAGGTTCGGGCTCAGGCTGCGGGAGTAGTGCAAGCTGACTTGAAGATGGATGCTGCTAGCTCTTTGTATGGGTTGTTGTCTCGAAGCTAAGCAGCTCCGTGCACTGGACCTATCGAAATGTTGCTGCTTGCACAGCCGCTAAAAATTCGTTATGCATGTGATGTGTGGATCATCTCTCTGTGTCCGTGAAGTGTGTGTCATGCCGAATCCGCCTCTCGAACAGCATCCTACCCCGTCTACCGAAGCCATGGACCTCCCCCAAGCTTGAGACTCCCAAATCTCCATGCCGGTTTCAGAATTCATAGCAGTCGTAGCGAACAAGAATCTCTGTGCCCTCAAGCCGTGAGCTTTCAGGGCGCTTCCGTGTACTCGCGGCCCAGCAAGCGGTGACGCGAATTCAAACCAATAGCTGCTCATCACGTCCCGGACCCTCCGCAAAGAGCCACGTGCTAACGTAGAAGCCCCAGAATGGAGAAGTGGCATGGCGACAGCCGGGAGCAAAACCTGCACATAAGATATCATCCGGCTCTTGCTGTTCAACATATCCCAACCTTTCCTTACATCCCAGTAGTAAGGAAGATCTCACTGTTTCACCGCTTCTGAAGTTCCCGACCCGGGCAGGTGTTAGCCAAAGGCTCCCCTGTCTTACATAGGGCGAGGGGGCGAAAACTGATGACCGCGCTTGCAGTGGCATCGCCAGCTGCAAATTTTCGAATGTGATGGTTTAGCGCTGCATGCTTGCATGGGTAAATCATGGCAAATGTGAGATATCAGAGTTGGAATATGTCCGCCTATGAAGTTGGGGCTTTGACCCATAGCCGCGTGGTTCGGGGTGAGAAACATGACACGGCACACATCAAGATTACGAAGACTGTCATGCTTTACACTGGCACTCTATACAGTGATAGGGCGTGGGAGGCTGCGCAAGTCTTCACTCAAGCATTCGGCTTCGTCTGCGATGGCTGGTGGCCACGAGGCCGGAGCGCAGTAGGTCTCTCTCTCTCTCTCTCTATATATATGTAGGTAATTGTAGGTACATGTAATTATATGTGTGTGTATATATATATACACACATGTAATATGAATAAATGAACAAATAAGTAAATAAATAGATAGATAGATAGATATATATATATATATATAGATAGATAGACAGACATACATACATACATACATACATACATACATACATACATACATACATACATATACATCTATACGCATACCTAGGAGTGGAAGAAAGATTTCTATCGCATCCAGGTGCCCCTCTACGGCGGCGCCATGACGTGCGAGCTGCCAAGGCTCCGCACGTCGGCAAGTGCAGCATGGTGTACCAGTGTACGGCTGAAAACCCAAAAGCGATCGAGCGCCGAAAGATGCTCTTTCTGATCGCCCACACTACGCACTGAAGCGAGCCTTCCCAGTCTTTCCATATGTCATCATACGTCCTACCATTGACAACAGCCACTCTCGTACGGCCGACGTGAAACTCTAAACCCTTTAAACCCTAAACCCTTTAACCCTTTAAGCCCTAAACCCTTTAACCCTTTAAGCCCTAAACCTGCTGTCAGGACCCTCACCGATGCCAGCGCCTTCCGAGAGGTTCTCGCAAGGGAAGCTCACATCTGAAATCTCCATGGGGGGTTTAGGGTTTTAGGGTTTTGGGGTTTTAGGGTTTAGGGTTTAGGGTTTTAGGGTTTAGGGTTTAGGGTTTAGGGCTTAGGGTTTAGGGTTTAAGGGTTTAGAGGGTTCTGGGGGGCTACGACTACGTCAGTTGGGTAGTATAAGGGCATCATAAGAGTGCTATACAGGTGAGGAGGCCGAGTTTAAGAGCCCAAAGCCCCAATCTGGCTTGGGATTTCGGGTTCAGGAGCTGGATTTGTTGGCGGAAGCCTTATTGTGATCGTCTGCAAAAGCAGGTCTTGGCAAGTTAAAGTTAAAGGTTGTTTGGGCTTTCGGGGTGTGTTTTTTTAGGTTTCCATATTTTGGGGGTTACGGGTGCCGTACGAGAACCAAAACTGAAAGGGATTCATGAGGTTGCCTGGTTTGAGCATGCTTGCTTCTTTTGCCCTTTCTTTCGTGAGCTGCTGGCACGTCGGCCAAATACTGCCAAGTCTCTCACGGTCCGTAAGAGCAAACTAGTAAGTAGTTTAGAGCAAGTAAAACAAGGGCAATTGTAACAATACTACCCATAAGAATCGTCGGAGCAATAGGAAAAATCGTGTTGATAGCAAGAATGGTAATACTACGGTTGATGGACAAAATCCTGCATGACCCAAATATAGTATGGTACCATAAATCCCATAGTTTAGGTATATAAGGTCATGCAGGATTTTGTCCATCAGCCGTATGAACACTAGCCAGGTGCCAGACCACCAAGAGGTCTGGGTCGACACTAGCTCGGACAGGACGCCTTCGGTGATGTAGCTAACTAGCAGAATGCTTAGGGCTTGGGGGTGAGTGTTTAGTCTGTAGGGGTTCATCACATTTCCGGATTTCAGGTTGGGTTTTCGAGTTCCGGTTTGTAGGTGGGAAGTTTCGTTTCCTCTTCTCGATCCTAAACTCCACTTAAACTTATGTGGAGGGGCCGGTTTCAGATGTAGGACCCAAGTACCCCAAGTACAAGGCTTGGAGCTGAGGATCCTTGACTGCGTTTGCGCAGATCTTTAAAATTCAATGGGGCGACGGGTGAGGAAGCCTAGCTGTCCGAACAAACACCCAGATTCGGTATTGTAGTCGATCACGATTCGTAGCATGCCCATGTGGAGTGACGAAGAACCAAGGATGCATTAACTGCATCCCCGCAGAGATGCTGCTCAGCTCTAAAACGTCTCAACCCGTCCGTGCTACGTTCCCTAACCCTCTCCGAAGCCTTCAGCCTCGATCCTGCTGCGAACGTGCAGGAGTATAGTCATCGAAATCCTGGAGGCGAAGGACCGGAATGCGATTGCCTTGAGCCTTGCTGGGGATGATAGTGATGATTTTGAGGAGCCGCATGAGAAAGCACTGCTGATGTCGGATATTGGTTCCTGAACTCGCATACTTCCGTATGCCCCAAACCCTCTTGCACCGTTGACACAGTCATCGCAGTCGGAGTGCAAACTTTCCCAAGCCACCCTGTGCACTTGACAATCGTTAAGGGATGCTTACGGAGGGTGTTTTGTTTTGCTTTTGGTTCTGCGGAAGTGCTTGCGGCATGGCTTCGAATCTGCTGTGATGTTGGATGCATTGAACACTTCCAATCCCAAGTGCTCGCTCATGCCCAATGGCTCAAGAGCAACAGATTACAGGTATTTGCAAAGATAGAAGGATGCCAGCCCGCAAGCGCCAGAGGAAAACTGATGAGTTCAAGATTGACCAGACGGTCCATTTTAATTGCTGCAGCGAGGACGAGATTATGTTGACAGAGAAGGAGCGTAAGCACCTGGCAAGGACGCTCCACAAGTTGGGCATTGTGCTTCAGCTCGTCGAACCCTCCAACGATCCAAACAGGTCCATCAAGCGTCGCAAGACACATTTGGACAGCGAGGTCACTGCTTCGACCAAGCGGACTCAGACAAAGAGTCCGGTCCCAGCGAAGCCCGAAAGGAAGAAGTATGACCCTGAGACAGAGGCAATGCTCGCAGAGTTTGATTCGTGGATCTGAGCGCCTTCGGGCCAATATGGCTGAAGCGTGCTCTAGTGGATCATCGAATCTGCGTGGTACCGGGACGTCGGATCCTACAAGAAGTGGGAGCCATGGAACGTTTCGTGGACCGGGCTACAGAACAAAGCGGTTTGTAAGTAGGCTTTGAGCATAGTTGTTAGCCCCGCTTAAAAGTTCTGAGCCTCTAACCGCAAAACCTTGGAACTTGTGTAATCAAGTCGCAGCTGCCTCGGTCCATACGTCGAAACATTGGGGATGCCAAGATCCTGTCCTCCACATGAGAGTTTCTGCGCGGTGCGAAAGCCCAAAACCCTGGTTCGGGACGTAGGCCTGGGGTTTAAGTTCATGACCTGCAAGTTATGTACATCTCTATCCTTCTATGTTTGTATCTCTATTTCTCAATATCCCTATATCTCTGAATCGCTATATCCCTATGTCTTTTTATTTCTATATCTCCAAATCTCTATTAGTCTATATCTATACATCTATCAATTTATATATCTGTATATCTAGATACTTTTATAACTATATATCTATGCAAGTATATGTATGTATGTATGTATGTATGTATGTATGTATGTATGTATGTGTGTATGTATGTCTGTATGTATGTATGTATGTATGTATGTATGTATGTATGTATGTATGTAGTTATGTATGTATGTTT